TCCAAAACCAGCCCCAAAGCCTCAAAAACCAGCCCCAAAGCCTCCAAAACCAGCCCCAAAGCCTCCAAAACCAGCCCCAAAGCCTCCAAAAACCAGCCCCAAAGCCTCCAAAACCAGCCCCAAAGCCTCCAAAACCAGCCCCAAACTAGGAAAATCCAGCCCACACTCACCAAAGCAGCCCCAAAGCACCCAAAAGCAGCCCCAAAGTCTCCAAAAGTCCCCCCAAATTGCCCCAGCTCACCTGCCAGAGGTGACCAGAGCGGGACAGCCCCCATGTCCAGGCGGGAATGGTCAAATCCAGCCTCACATTCCAGCCAAGGGGCACAAACCCCGCCGGGAATCCCTTAAATCCACCCCCAAAGCCCCAGAACTGGGCCCTAAACCAGCCCCACACCTGCCACAAATCAGCCTCTGATCACAAGGGCCACTGCAAACCACCCAAAGCCAGCCCCAAAACACAAAATCCCGCCCCGAACCAGCCACAGGTGGCCAAAACCCAGCCCCAAAGTGCCCCAAACCAGCCTCAAGTCACAAAATCCAGCCCCAAATTGCCCCAAACCAGCCATAAATTGCCCAAATCCAATCCCAAGTCACCTCAAACGACCAAAATTCAGCCAGGAATCCCCCCAAACCAGCCCCAGATCACCCCAAACCACCCAAATCCACTCACAAATCACCCTAAACCAGCCCCAAATCAACAAAATCCAGCCCCAAACCAGGCACAGATTGCCCCAAAGCACCCCCAAAATCACCCCCAGATCACACAAATCTCCAAAATCCACCACAAATCCCCCTAAATCAGCCCCAAACCACCCAAATCCATCCCCAAATTGCCTAAACCAGCCTCAAATCTCCCAAATCCAGCCCCAAATCACCCCAAACATCAGCCAAAGGTCGCCCAAATCCCACAAGAAATGACCCCAAACCAGCCCCAAATTATAACCCAGCCCCAAATCAGGCACACACCAGCCACAAACCACCCCAATGCAGCCCCAAATTGCCCCAAATCCAGCCCCAAAACACCAAAGTCCAGCCCCAAATTGCCCTCAATAATCAGCCCCAAATCACCCC